CCTCCACCCTTAGAGCGCCTCCACCCTTAGAGGGTAGAGCGCCTCCACCCTTAGAGGGTAGAGCACCTCCACCCTTAGAGCGCCTCCACCAGCTTTAATCACACAGTTACTCCCATGGTGGAGCCATACCTCCTCCTGTTAAGCTGGATGTTTTGGCCTGGCCTCCATCAATGATTTCCCTGATTCTTCTTCTCTGAACTGACTGTGTTTGTCCTGCAGTGATAAAAGACAGACCTCCTCTCCCTCCCAGCCAGGCCCAGGCCGTCCTCCCAGGCTCCCTGCTGGACACATACTCCTACAAACGCTCCATCATCAACCTGATAAAGAACAAGGCCTTTGTTCTGCTGCTGGTCAGCTACGGTGAGCAGGAGAACATTCTTCTTCTTCTGTGGTTTTATCTTTCAGGCAGGGATTAACGGCTGATGGCTGAACGGGTCGGATGGATCCGACATATCGGGCAGAGATAAGCGTAGAGGATTAATTCCTGAAAACCTGCAGTGCGACGTTAGTGAAGCCGTCTGCTCCACATGAAAGGAAGGATTATTCCTTCAGAGCTGCTGCTTCATGGAGCTGACACTTTCCCAAGCTTCCGCAGGAGATCCCAGAGCGTTCCCATGTTCTGCTGGGTTTACGCCGCTGTCTTCTCATCCCCGCAGGAATCCTGACCGGCTCCTTCTACTCCGTCTCCACGCTGCTCAACCAGATGATCATGTCCTACTATCAGGTAGAGCAAAATAAACCAACACATTTCAAACACATTTAGCAACACCTCAACAGATTGACCTTAAATAACCCCACCCCCCTTCAAAGCACCAAAGGAGCTGCGCCCCCTGGTGGAGATAAATACAGAATGTTAGGATAAATGGTTCCCACAGGGCTGAATGTTCCTGGGAGGTGAAGCTAACGTCAGATTTCCTCCCAGGAACCGTCATGGCGCTCGTTATGACGCGGAGGCGGGGCATCCAGAACCTGACAGCTTTCTTCTCTTTGTCTTCCGTAAGCTGGATGTTAGCCAATCACAGCTACAGTAGACGCAGGAGACTCTGTTCCTCCTTCAGAGACGACTTTCTATGCTACGCTCTATGCTGCGCTCTATTCTACGTTCTATGCTGCGCTCTATGCTGCGCTCTATTCTACGTTCTATGCTACGCTCTATGCTACGCTCTATGCTGCGCTCTGTGCTACATTCTATGCTACGCTCTATGCTGCGTTCTATGCTACGTTCTATGCTACGCTCTATGCTGCGCTCTATGCTGCGCTCTATGCTACGCTCTATGCTGCGCTCTATGCTGCGCTCTATGCTGCGCTCTATGCTACATTCTATGATGCGCTCTATGCTGCGCTCTATGCTGCGCTCTATGCTACATTCTGTGCTA